GAAACATTAATTTAACAGTTTATATAAATTCTGTTCTCAGCTCAATATACCCATTCTTTCCTCCCTAAAAAATTAATCTTCTAATTTCAACATTCTTTAAAGGGGAGGAAATGTCAAGTTATTATTTTAAATAATAAACATATAAAGAAAATATATTTCCTGCAGTCCATAAATCTTTTTGTATTTTAAAACTTTTTAAATATAAAACAAACTAAGAGCAAGCATGGACACTCACTCCAGAAGACTACCATATAATAAAAAAGTCATCCCTCATTAGATTATTATCATGGAAATTTTACCACTTTCCTTTAACTGAATGTCCAATTCTCCATTTTTTCTTTGATTCACTACTGAATTGCAATCATTTTTACTACATGACAACTGCATATATCTGCCAATTTAACACAGTCAGATGCACATACCTAAATAAAAATTTCAATCTTCGTAACTGTACAGATAAAGCTAATATATCAAATTAAGAGTGCACTATCTCAGCAAGAATTATTTGACACTGACCATGCCATTTACTAATAAATGCTGTCCTGAGAATCCTTAAGGAAAAAACACTAAACTTTACTTCCCTGGAAAAGGAAATTATTTGAGTTCTCTGGGAAGAGAGCTGAAGAGAACTCTTTCCAGCCAGATTAGTATTGCTTTTACTGTAATATTGTGGTGACTCCACCAATATATTGTATTATACTAGAAGATTTATATATGTTTTTTTACATTTATCAAGCCATCAATCATTGCCTTCTTCCCAGCAACCAATCCTACATATTATTTAAATTTAGAATAACCATCTAGAGGAAAAAGGGCATCTAGAACAAGAATCTATGCAGAGATTTCTGGGTTTGTGATATTGCCATGCTGAGAATTACATAGTCTTCAATCCATATTTTTGTGGATCATATCCACCTAATAGAATCCTTGCTATTTTACTCTATATTTCCTACTTGGACATTGCAGCAATAGAAATGAGAATTAATACGATTTATTTATTTGTTTGTTTGTTTGTTTCTTTGTTTAACTAGTTAATTTATACTTTGCTGGAGTTAATTTATACGTTGCTGGAGAAAATCTAGCTAGTGAATTAAATATAAAGATGGAGATTCTTCTTCATTTGCATCCACAAATGCAATCCTCATTTCAATAGATATATATATTTCTAGCAAAAAAGGACCAAAAACAAGCAGAGGTTGCTTTGATAGTGGCATCTGGCACTAGTATAGGTGCAAAAGTGCAGAATCAAGATTGCTATTTTAGATTTGGGTACTTGGGTAAGAGAATCTTCTTCACTATAACCCCATCTGCCCTTAAATTAGCTTTGAGAACCTAGGGCCTTAGGGTAGGGTGGTTGTCAGGCTTTTTTATATTAGATGTTAAATGAGAAAAGAGGTTTTATTATTCCGTTTGGATGACCATCATTCTTTTCTAATACTATGATGTTTCTTGCTTTTATAATTTGTAAAATGCCCAGAGTCAGGCAGCTCTAGAAAAAATGCCGGAATGAATGGATGGATGGATGGGTGCTGCATATTTTTTCTTCATCATATTAAGAGATACCTAAATTATTGTTATTTTTCCTTGCTCCTTTTACTGCTTATTTGTTTAAAGAAAACAGGTAAACAGGCAGCACCAGCAGCAAACAGAAGGAGCAGGCCCACAAATATCCAAAATGTGTCAATGGGTGCTCTACTAAGCCCCAGCAATTGTTCATTACTGAAAACCTCTATGGCCAAACCTGAGGAAAAGACTATGGGAAATCTTGTTTATAGAAATAATTATGGACTTTTACCAGATCATCAAATCCTTGAATCAGCCATGCTTTTAATTCCTATATTTTTGTTGAATTTTCCACAACTAAATGAAATAAATACAAATTTAATTTAAAGAACATGGCTGCATGGTAAGAATACAACCTTAGGTCCTACCAACTCAGTATGCTATCCCACCTATAAGTAACCCCTCCAAATTTTGCCACAGACCTATAACAGTCAATATAATAAAGTGGAAAAATATTAAACATATTGGTAATTAAATGCCCAGTACCAAATTTAATATCAATTAACTGAAATGAAATTTAGTTTGTACCCTGGTCTCAGCTATTTGTTTGTCCTGCCCACCTACATTTTGAATGTGGATCCTGCAAAGTGAGACACTTAGCACAAAATGCTGGTATACTTACACTCTTGGACAAACTAAATAAATATCATCAATACTCAATTGATTAAGTAGCTAATGTGAAAATATTTCTGCCATCTGAGGCACAAAATGATCTTACACATAATTTTGTCTTTAGGTGAAATAATAAATTTTATAAAACAATACTATTCTCAACATTTTTAAAGGAAGGCAATTTCCAAATGCAATATTGTTCGTAATGTGATAGTCTTTCTGTCCAGATTTTTATACTCATACCCATCTATCATAAACTATTTATAATAGTGGTGTGAGGTACACAAGAAATGTACATGTTGTAATTTTTCACTTCTGTTAAAGGAATAGGCATATAGAGGCACTTAGCTAAGATATTTTTAGAAAAGGAGATATAATAAGTGAAGGAATAGAGAGGAATTATATATACTGACTTAAAGGATACTTTTAGAATAGTGCACACTATTGTAGAATAGCATATAGCTTATGAATAACATATTATTCAATTTATATAAGGCTTATTCTTTATAAAAAATACTTAGCGTTAGTATTTTAAAGTATAACTATGAACCAAAGTGCAGCCATGTTTAACCAAAGCAAGAACTCTGTTACACACATAGCTTCTAGATGCAAAGCAGGCATTCTTATAGATAAACAAGGGAAGACATAAATCTTTTATAATTGCAATTATCCAGTTTGGGTAACAGTTCACCTTGTAGATAAGGCTATACCCGGAGTTAGCAGGATATTACAAATCATAGAAAAGGGAGTGAAGATAAAACAGGAACAAAAGGAACATTTGATCTAATAATTGGAGGGTCTGGTAATTGTAATGATTGCTAGGCGGTGGGAAAGCATGTGACCGGGTGGGCCTATCAACTGGGCTCACTTTGGAAGGATGTGGCGTATAAAAACCTATGCAAAAATTGATTCAAGTGTGGACTCTGGGATTTGCCATTACCAAGAGCTCCACTGCTTTTGCAAAAGCTTTAATAAAACTTGTTTTGTTTTCCAACACCCTTGGAGTTGAATTTTTATTCCTCACAGTAGTTGTCTACCAAGTCACACTGGTTTAGTTATTTTTTTAATCATTTAATCACAGTGAATATAGTTTTATCTGCTTTTTACAAAAATGCATATATTTTAATGCACTTTTTGTATGATTTTTTTTTAAAAAACATGTAAACCATTTAATGCCAGTCACCTACATCGCAACCACTTAAAATAAACTTAATATGAATTATACATAACATGCAGTATGCACGTATGTATGTACGTACATACATGTATGTATGTATAACATAGTCCATTCTTAACAAAATTTAAAGAGCAAAAACAAGTATTTGACACTGCCTGACTTCCCAATTTTCTTTCAGTTTCAAATCAAAGTGTTTGATCAAACCTATAGCTGCTGCTGAGTAGGAAAACGAAAATGGAAATGATCCTCTTTACTCTGCATCAGTTATTTTCAATATTTAGCCTCTTTCTCCCTTCCCACTAGAATCTGTGGAAGTGGAATAAATAATTCTATAGATCTGCTTTACTTTGATGAGACATTGTCAACTAAATAAAAGGAGCAATTATGTTGTTTTGAAATGAAATCAGTATGTAGAAACTGTGGAATGGCTGGAAATCATTGAACACTCCACCAATAAATTAAATATTATATATATAAACAAGGGAAGACATAAATCTTTTATATATATGTCTTCCCTTGTTTATATATATATATATATAGGGAGTTCAGACAGATTGGTCTGATTGTGAACACCTTGACATTTTCAACTGCCATACTGCAGTTTACTCTTTTTACAATATCTCTTGCCTTGCCGCCCCCAACTAGGGGCATAGAGCAGGCTCAAGTCGCAACTGCGAAATATTTTTATATCCAAATTTCTTTTTTTCTGACAAAGAGTAA